TATATATATATATATATATATATATATATATATATAATAAAATGAACTTTAATTTTTGGGTGAATTATTCTAAATTAGATCCTGAAAACACCATGGTTACTAACCAGATAAAATAAGATTCTGAGTTGTTGGGATGCTTCTGTAATATGGTCCTTGAAAGTTACTACACTCATTGAAGATTCACTTCAGAGCATGAAAATACATTCAAGATTTCTCAACATGGAAAATTCTTGAGCAATCATTTAATTTGCAGATGTTTCTTATGCAGTCAGTCAGGCTTTACCGGTCACTTTCTGCAAATCTGTATATTGAATTACAGTAAGTATTAGAAACTAGCTGTGTACTTTGTGAACTGAGTGACATATAATCATATTGTAACTTTCACTTATGTCATTTGGAAGAGGACATAGGTGATGTAACGTAGGGTCATCAATCAGATGTGTAGCAATTGAGATATTAGACACACATGCGTGAATTGTACATACATTGTGACTTCACCATGTATATAGAATTTGAATAATAAATATTAAATGGGTGGTTGATCAGCTTTTTTCGAAGGCTTTATTGTGTTTATGGGGGGCAGTGTAAGATGCGTTCATGCTTCGTTTAAAAAAAATAATAATTTTTTCACATATTTTACCTTTATTCTACACCGCTGTTTCCGTTCTCATCAAAGCGGTCTGTTGAGCTCCTGGTTCTATGAAACCCCTCCCTCAGAATTACGCAGCCGGGCTCAGATTGGTTAGCTGGCCCAGTGTGTTGTGATTTTCTAACTGCCTATTGCACATTGTCTGGAAACGTCACGCCCCCTTGCCATTACGGGTAGTTGCATGTTCCTGGGGGCAGGTTTTATGTAAACATCGGGTTAGTGATGTCACAAACCCAGGCAGAAGCTCGTTGTAGTCCCTACCAGCCTTTTTTTGTAGTCCTTAAACAGCGATTTCTTTAAAAGAAAATATTTCCCTTTGCATTGAACTTTGAGCATCGTAACTTTGCAGACGTTGTTCATGCTCTAACAGCAACATTACACACTAACTAAAATTAAAAAAGTGAAATCATAATCAACCACCCCAGTGAAACAATATAGCACATGTAGTACTCAGAGGTTGTGTTAGACTTTCGCATTGTCCATCATTTTTGAGGACAGGGTTGTAAAAATTCCATCATAATCTGTCAATACCTGTCATTTAAATTTTCTTATTAATTGATAAGACATTTAATAGATTTTGTTTTTGTTCACCTTTTCATTTTTAATCATGAACTTACAAGACGAGCATATAGGCTAGATTATGCATTTATTTATTTATGAACAGATGCACAGAATCTGTGTCACTTTTTGTGTTCAACACAACACAAAGAAGATGAATCGATCTTTTGGTCTATGCAGTTTTCAGTTAATGAATGAATAGAGCCTCCCATCCAATAAATTGCATTAAGCTTTGTGCTTTGTTACTTTTGATATGAAACAAGTCTCAGATTTCAAATTATGTCCATTATATTTCATAAATGAAATTTTATTTCATAACATAAATTCAAACAATAACACCATTTTGGCATTCTTGAATGTGGCGTGACAGAGCCTAATCGATCAATCAGTGTTCCAACGGCAGAAAAACATCAATAAAACAGCTTGTAAACAATGTCACATAATGTTACATTACATCAGAAAAGCCATTCGGTGACCATCAGACGACTTCTCATAACAGTTTTAATTTTGTTTCGGAGGCTGAACTCGCGCTCTGCTGCCATAGTGGATCTCACTCGCTACTAACTGGACAGGAGTGGAAATTACAGTTCCCTCTTGAGTCTGTCTCTCGCGAGCAAGGAGACTGCAGCTAGGGTTCTCATGTCGACACGGGTCCCGCATGGCCCTTGATCTAGACCCAGACCTAGAGTGGCAATCTGCTATGTACAAAGCATAAATCACTTCTACTCCTCATTCACACGATATAAACAGCCCCCTGTTGCAGTGCAGTGGTCTATCGTGTACAGAAGACAAAATGCCTGGCACTTACACAATATAAACAGCCCCTGTCTCAGTGCAGCAGTCGGTCTGTCTCAAAACAGTGGTCTGCCGTGTTCAGACTCAGGTCATGGGAAAAAGATCCAGTTGCTCACTCAAGAGCACGATAACAAGCAGCCCACTGTCTCAGAGCAGCGATCTGCCGTGTTCGGGTCATGGAAAAGCTCCAGTTGCCCTCTCTTCATGCGTTAAGCATGCCCCCGCCTCAGGGCAGCGGTTTGCTGTGTAAAGAAGCAAAGTAGCCCCTGCCTCAGAGCAGCGGTTTAAAAGTAGCCCCTGCCTCAGAGCAGCGGTTTACAGTGCACAAATCTCAGTGCTGTGACCTGCTATGCACAGAAGAGGAAGCGCTTCGATCGCTCACTCACTCATAAGCAGTAAGCAGGCTCAGAACGGCGGTCTGCCTTCCATAAAGCATTGAGCTTCAGCCGCTCACTCACTTTCATAATATGCGATCTGTCTTATATAAAATGCTCCGGCCACTCGCTTCCGTTGCCTTCTGTGTTGAACACCAGCTTTGCTGCTGTTTTCTCATATGAGTGTGAACTATTGCTTACACTATCCATAATGAATGCCTGCATGGCCGCCGTTCATCGCCTCCTGTGATAAGTACCGGCGGTGCAGCTGTTGTTTATGTGGGTGTGTAGTGCTGCGTACGTTAGCTACTGTGCATGCTGGCACTGCCGCTGTTTATCGCTTTCTATATAAACACAAATAATGAATAGTCCTGCATTATCAGAGCATGTGACCAGAGCATAGCGGGGAGCAGATCAGTGAATGAGAGGGTAGCGTCATTTTTCCAGCGTTGCCCAGTACAGCTACACACCATGTTTCAGCACAGTTGCACTATTGCAAACAGGAACAAGTATACTACATAGAAATTTCCTGTCGGCGTGTTATTTGAGCGGACTTTGCTTTTCCGGTGAGCATGAGAGGTACATGAGCGGAACGCACATTCATAGAGTGGATTATTGAGCAGGGCGTCACACCACGCAGTGACGACGGCTAGATGGAGAGTGAAACCTGCGCACTGAACACTGCTGGGCTGATCGTAACACAATAGGTGTGAGTGTAGAGTGTTAATAAAGTGTTTAAAAAAAAACATTTTATGTGAGTGACCCCTAAAACAGGTGTGCCTGTGTTAAAACCTGATGGCATAAATGTGTATTTTGGTATCAAACCTATAGATGCAACCAGCAGTGCATTAAATATGCTTTGCTAATTAATAAAGCATAAACCTGGTAACTTTTTAAGCACAACATGAGTAAATAATGTGCCACTGTTACTATGTAATCATGTGACTTGTTCCGTATACGTTTTTGGCATTGTGATTATTCACAGCAGATGACCATGTGTCAGAGTGCTTGTCTGGAGGGAAAATACCCACCAACTGTAAATGTCTGAGATCAGAATGAGTAAGAACATGTACTGTATGTAAATGGAGAAAAAAGGAATAGGTTATGAGCACTCAATGTCTGTACTCGCTGTAGATACAGTGAAAAAACACATCAAACAACAACTCTACAACCCAACATCCTTGTTCTGAAATGGAAGTATTTTGAATTGGCTCAGTATTAAACAGACCTATTTTCAAGTTTCTTTTCTACAAGGACTTACTGGGCAGCTGTTTTCTCCGGCTTATATCATAAATTCCTTTGAAATTCTCTGAACCGTGTTCTTAACTGATCTTGACAGAAGATCCGCACAAAAAGCACATCAACAAGTATCATGTAGAGCCATGCCTCAATTAACACATCTGTTTAAAATACAATAAATGACTGTGTGTTGCCATGGCACAGAGTTCCAATCTCATTTCTCTAATGTAGAAAACAGTTTTATCTGCCTGAGGAGGTTACTCATGGTACACACACTAATCTAGCTTGCCTGTTTCAGTGTAGATTTCCTATTTTACATTTTTTTATCAAATCAAGTTTCTTCACAACTCCTCAAAAAGGTATTTCAGGGCAAAAAGTGCAAATCAGTAATCAAATCTTGTTGCATTAGAGAAAGTATTGCTAAAGCTAAAGTGTTGCAGATTTTCTCCTCTTGTTCTCACTGTAAGCACTGACTCTCCACCCCTCTTACGGGACAGTCCTACCTGAGACTTGAATCCATCCGTGATGTTGGCTGTGAGATGAATAGAATAAAGGGTTCTCCATTGTGTTTCGTCTCCTTTGCATCGTGATTGGTAACCTGAACCAATATGCGTGAGGATAATCTACTGAGAGAGGCGTGCATCCCTCTATCTGCTACAGACCGACGTTCCAAGTCCTCTCAGCTGCAGCGTGTGTATGCTTGAGAGAGAGAGAGAGAGAGAGAGAGAGAGGAAACGGGGGGAAGCAAAGAATCTGATCATTTAATTTGTGATGATGCAGATCAATGTTAAAAGACAAAACTGGTATCATCTGAAGCAGCAGGTTTTCTTGTTTAGTTTGATTTAACATCCCCACTAGGTTTTTATCTAAAAATGAGTGCCTATTATGTAAACAGAAATATCATGTCTTAGCTGAAAAAAAAACACAACAGTGTGTATACTACATTTGCCACAATTGTTACAGTGACTAATACACACATGTATTTATATTTTTAGAGTTAGTCACATAGACTGTATAAAAAGCTAACAACCTATGTTATTTCCTATTTATTTACAAACTGAATTAAAATATACAAAATTAAATGGGGATGGCTATGGGGTAAACCATAATAATTTTAAATAAATTTAATTATTTCATCTTTAATTTACAATCAATTTATGCAAAGAATTTAAAATGTTCATTCTTTCAATTGGTGTTACAACTCATCAATCCCAGAACGAGGTAGATTAACAACAACAATCTCTGCACAAACATTAATTTACAGTTTCAGGACACGTTGTAGATTTCTAAACTATTTTAATTCATAGCAGACAATAAATAATGCAATAATACCTAAGTTTGAGGCACATAGCGCCAAAACAAAAAATATCGATACTAAGGTGCGTTTTATTTACCAGTGGTTTTGTTTATTTAACAATAATAATAATAATAATGCGTACAATATGCACTGAATTGGACGAATATTTCCTGCTCATTTGAACACACGCAAATGTTGCAAGACAGAACCAATCAATCACAGAGAGCATTCACTCACTGCTGACAGTGCATTCAAACAGGGCTGCGTTTCCCAAAAGTATCATAAGAAAGCATTAAAGCTTTTGGGAATGGCAGCCCTGAACAATGCTTATCAGAGGACAGAAAAAATATATAAATGTTTGAGTTATTTCACAATAAACAAATTGAAATTGTAGCCTACATAGTTTGTGCAATTACAATTATTTAAATTGAACGTTGAAAGATAAAATTGATTATGTTCTATTCTGTATTGTTAATTGAAATCATACACTGTCAGAATAAAAAGGTTGCATTTTATGCATGCAACAGCCATTCACTGGCAGTCCCTAATGGCAGTACAAAATATTGCACTAAATCAAAAGTTCAAATGTTACAAATAAGTTAGAATATTTATGTTGTAATACTGGTAGCACTAATATAAAAATGTGATGATATATGTTACAAAAAAGTAACAATTTTGAAATACGTTGATGGTTGTATTTTTTTGTATTTGATCTCAGTATTCCTATCCATGTTGTATAAGGGTTTTTTATGCATAATTGTAACCCTAGAATGTGATCAAACAGTTTAAAATAGCTGGGCTAAGATATATAACAATTTTTAAGACTGCAGAAATATGTTAATTCAGTATACACATTATCCCACCGGTTACAATTGTGACTGACCATAAAATAAAAATTTTCACACACTTTTCCCAAAAAAAAAAATGTATTAATTATTTCAAAGGGTTACTAATGACACATCATTTGGATGTTTTCATGTCTGGGAAAAATTTGGGATTAAACGGGCTAAAATGCGTTTTCAACATAAAGTTAAGTGGTTTTCATTACCCATTTTACTCTTGTAATTTAATAATTTAATAAATTTCATAATTTAAAAGTTTAGTGCAGAAGTATCGAATCGGTATCGATATCGACGATACTGCCTTGAAAAATATCGGTATCGTATCGAAAACAAAATAAGGGGTATCGCCCATCCCTAGTTTGAAACGACCGAGAATTTACCAACGTTCAAACTCAAAGCCCCGCGTGAAGGCAGTTGCTTCAACATTAGTTCTGCCCCGCCCACACCACTGCGTGAAATTGATTGACAGCCACAGCCACCAATGAGACATCAAGTGTAATTCCGAGATGACAACACGTGACGTTCTACTCGGCTCTGAATTATGCATTTCTGTAGCAACCATAGACTGTAAAAAAAGATGGACGACGTGTCTCCTATTCCCTCCACTATAGAAAAGTGAATGCTGTGATGGCCGCTGCCATCTTGAGTAAATGACGTCATTTGGAGCCCAAGTCTGCGCAGTAGAGATTCGTTTGGGATTCGAATTCTGAAGAAACTGTGGTACACTTATTTTGGTCATGTCACTACACTCAGAAGCTTTGGGATGATATATTGGTGTTTGACAAGTGTAACATTTTGCCAGGCTTCTCAGTACATATGAGAAACATTATATTTGGGTATTATGACTCAGACCCCAAAAACGAAAATATCTGTTTTGTTATTAATTACATTTTTTTCCTAAGCAAATTTCACATTCACAAATGCAAATTTTCCAACTGTAAACCTGTTTTCTCTGTCTTCCTAAAAGAAATGGAAAATTATTTGAACGTAATCTCAGTATCTACTAATAAGAAAGCTATACGAACTGTTACGATTTGCTCTGCCTTTGATCTCTTCATGTGATCATGTGTAGATGATGGCCCTCTTATTTTAATTTTTTTATTATTATTGTTTTTTGTGCTTTGTTTCCATTTTATTTTTGTGGTTGATATTATGTGATGTATGCTTATTCTTCTGTATGTAATAACATTTTTCCTTTCTTTCTACTCCTTTCCATAATGTTCCAATGTAGCATAGACTAAAACACTGTTATGCACAATGCATTTGTGAACGGTCACCTGTTTTCCTAGTTATCCTAATAACACTTCACATAGTTTTATACACATAAAAGTGGAAATAAAAGAGGTAATAAGTAGTACAGCAGGATGTTTGATTGCATTGCACAATTTATCTGTTTAAGAATGTATCTATTGACAAAGCTGACAGACAGCAAGCTCTCTGGTAAGCAGTTTTTATGCAAGATGAAGGAAAGCAGATAAGCCAACAACATGAACTTCAAATTCTCAGAACAACATACAAAGACGCAACAATCATTATAAAATTCAGAATATGGTCTATCAACCATTTAAGAAGTGCAGAAATGACAAATGGGGTAACAGCTGATGCAAACTACTTCAATTCTTGTTTGTCCCTTTGCCCAAAAAAAAAAAAAAAAAAAAAGATTAGTTTGGGATCAGTTAAAAAAAATTTTTTGGAAAAAGGTTTGGACGCTTCCTAACAAGTATTTATTGGTAAATAAGATTAAAGAGATTTCTTTTAAGCTTATTCATCAGTACTGTCCTGTTAAAACATTTATTGTGTTGAAATTCAAATTAAACATAGATGTGAACTGTACTTTTTGTGACTCGCAACCAGAGACTGTCCTGCATCTTTTTTGGCATTGTGTTCATACAAGGAAACTTTGGCAAGACATTTGCCAGTTCATTGTAAACTTCATACATAATGACTTTGAGCTTTTCTTTAAGGATGTTTTGTTTGGAATTTTCACTTTTGAGAAGCAATATGGAAATGTTTACTTTCTCTGCAATTAAATTATTTTGCTTGCAAAATATTTTATCCACAAATGCAAGGTTATGAAAGTTACCCCCCACTTCTCTTACTTTCAAGAAGATATTAAAATTTATATTAAAGGGGTCATATGATGCTGCTTAAAAGAACATTATTTCATGTATTTGGTGTAATGAAATGTGTTTATGCGGTTTAAGGTTCAAAAAACACATTATTTTCCACATACTGTACATTATTGTTTCTCCTCTATGCCCCACCTTTCTGAAACGCGTCGATTTTTACAAAGCTCATCGTTCTGAAAAGCGAGGTGTGCTCTGATTCGCCAGCTATCCAGTGCGTTGTGACAAGCGTGTGACTACCATACTGTACGCCCCTACCATACTGTGATGATGCCCTGTTAGACCGGAGCGACGAGACAAAAACATGAAAACCCATTATAAACGAGCACTTTTTGGTGTTTTTGTATAATTTTTATCTGATAATTATTTTGTGTTTTGAGGGAAGAGTATGTTTTTTGTTGTGTGATCTGTTTATTTATCTTATTTTTTCTCATTTACTTGTTTATTTATTTATTTTTCTACTCTTTCTCTTTTGATTTGTAATTGCTGTATATTGTTTGGTCATCCTTGAACCCCTTGCTCTTTTCCTTGGCATATGTTCTGTCACACTTGTATTTCTGAACGAATGTTTAATTAATAATAAAAAAAAGAGATTCGTTTGGAGCCAGAGTTTGCACAGTAGTGTCGTGAGGTGGAGCCACAGTATCAAACTCCCGCCCAAACTCCCGGAGACCCAATCAACCATAACGACACGCCCCGTTTTTATAGCGTCATATTACTAGCTAAAATTAAACTTATCACAAAAACGAATAATTTGACATATATCAGCGTGATAACAACTACCTTAAATGACCAAAACCATCTTTCGGAAAATTGTATTGGAAGCGTAATTAATTTTTTTATTTTGACTCAAGTCCTATTCGTTTACATGGAGAGGGCGGGGTTTATGACCTGTACTGCAGCCAGCCACCAGGGGTGATCAAAGAGCCCGCAGCTTCACTTTTCAGGACGTGTGAGGCACACCCGGTAGCAACACTATCAATGCCAAAGCGTTCTGGCACATAGATATGTATAGATTCCCCATTCGACGGCTCCAGGCACGAAGATGCTGCCGCCATCTTGGAACGGTCAAACTGTTTCTAATGCAGCGTCTATGGGAGGGACAGTAAATTTGACATCGTTCTCTCTTCTGGCAGCCGTTATCAGTCTCTCTCAATTTTTTTCCTTTTATTGAATGTCATGAAAACACTATCGTGGAGTTTTTCTTTTGCTATTTGAGCAAATGGGAATGCAAAAAATATATTTGTGGTACTCTCCCATTCACTGCTATTCAAGTTAACCCAACTATGACGACTTCCGCTGCTGAGAAACCCGGAAATGTGAAAAAGGTCCATTGTGGCATCTTTCGAATATTCAGTGATTACTATGGTGAATGACGTCAAGTTGACCGTTACAATATGGCGGACGGCTTACGTATAGCGGCCCATAG